TTTAGGCTGGTAACACAAGTGGCTTAGATATAAAACTTTAAACTCATTAATGTAAGATAGATAATAGAGCATTTTCTCTGAATTTGTCAACTACATGTGGACTGGACCTTGTGAATTTAATTCTTGCCTGATAATTCTCCTTATTGTATATAGTTTTACTATGTTAAAGCTAAAACATTTCCTTTTTATTTAGACAATACCTGATAATTGTTCGTATTGCACATAGTTTTACTATGTTAGAGTAAACATCTCATTTTTATTTATACAAAAAGGGGGAAATGTTGTGGAATGTTTGTTTACCCTGTGTGAAGATGTGTCATTGTGACTGGTTTATTAAAGAAATGAATGGCCAAAGACTAGGCAGCAGATACTAGTGAAGGGGTTAAACTCTCCCACTTTTACAATTGAATTTAGGTTTCAGTTCTCAGAGGGAAAAACAGGTACCTCTCCCAACAAAGGGCAATTTATCCATGTCATCCTTGCATTCAGGGACGAGGGAGAGAACACACACAAGGCCTACTTCAGCCACACAATGTCTCAAGGACAAGTCCTACATCCCCTTCTGAGTCACGTCCAGACTTGCCCAAGGTTGTGCAAGTGTGTACAAATGTAAAACCTCAGCCAACTAAAAGTCTACTAATGCAACTGCAGCTTGCTTAACCAGTATTGTTTCGAATGACCTAACTATTCCTAACATTCCCCGAGCTGTGCTTAACAGGAGCCCACATGCTCCTCTTGGGGTTGTTGCCATCATGAACAGCTGTAATACTAATAAATGCTCCTTGCTCTCACATGATATTTGAGTCTGGGGTCTGCATTAACTTGGTTTGCTCACACCCCTACAGATAGGTGGGATTTCCAGGGAGAGAGAGAGAGAGAACTCTGGGAAGGAAGAGAGGTGAGGAAACATTGAAGAGGTTGGACATATAGCACAGAGTAGAGGTAACTGACCCATGTGGTAGAACATTAGCCAAAAGGTTAATTTAAGTTATAGGAGCTAGTGGGATAAGCCTAAGCTAATGGCCAACTTTTCATAATCAATAGTAAGTCCCTGTGTCATTATGTGTGGGCTGGAGGTTCTGATGAGAAAGCACTTTCATACACCTAGATTAGTTCACAAATACCTTATTATCTTTCAAATAGAAAAAATACAATCATTTTCACTATTCCTGAACTATCTTCAATGATTTCCACAATCTCTTTTAAATTCCAACTTTATTTCATTTGAACAGGAACTGTATGTGTTTTTAATATACACGTACATATGTAAATATATATATATAAATGATACAAAGCAAATGAGAACAAAGGCTTACAAAAAGAATAAGACAAATGTTGGTATATTTTATGTTCCAGACTAGAGTCTACATAGAAGACATAATCCAAAGTTTAATGTTTTCAGCCATATACATAGCTGTTGACATGTGAATATAACATACATATTCTATATTATTGGTTGTGTTGTATAATTTTACTCAGTTGTACATTCTGACACTTTACAGTGCATATTAGTACTTAACCAAATGAAGTGACAGTCTTTCCTAAAGGTGTGAAATATGAAAATAATATTGAATGATGTCTTTTACAAAACAAATTAAGAATGTAGTTATCTTAAAGATATCATATTGGAAAGATAATTTCAGAAATGGAAGAATATAACAAGAGAACAAAACCATTAATAGCAATGAAGACAGTATCCTAAAAGCAAAATGAGATATAATAAAACTGAAGTGTGTATATTTTCAGTAAAATAACTTGAGCCTTTGAAAATAGTTCAGAAAGTCTGAGAGAAGGCTCTCATCTGCTCAAGCAGCAAACTGTAAAGATGTCAGAGGCATTGTGGGAGACTTGATAGAATGTGTAGTGAGGGGTGGAATCTAGGGTAAGTCTAAACAATTCAAAAATGATAGCTCACAACCAGAACTAGAGTAACAGTCAACATACAGGCTCCTGCTCTCCCCACAATGGAAATTGGATTTAAACTACACTATTAGAAGACAAAATGTTATCGCTATACAAACCATGTAGACAGCAGACTTCATACAATCTTTAATGTTCTGTAGGTCACAAGACGTCAGTTCCAAGATGCTCAGTTCCATAGACGTACTGATACCTTATCAGACAGACATGGCTCCATTCCAATAAGTCTTTATAAGAACAAGGGCCCTGAATTTGGACTTGGTCCTGTTTTGGAAAATAAACTGAGAAACTTTGGTAGACCCTGAAGGGATAATTAGAATATGGTTGAACTGCAGTTGTCACACAAGGGTGATTAAACAGAAAGCAGTTTGGCTTAGAAAAGAGACAAATCCTGTAACGAATATATGTTCTTGAATGCCCTGGCAGACAATATACTATTTGTTTCTTCATTTAGTGAAATTAATTTTATCTTGGCCTTTCCTTTCAGTGCTCGGCAACAAGTGTGTCATTTTATACTGTCTTCTCTTTGAAGCTAAGAGTTTAAGATTTAAACTGAGGGTTCATGGGGTGCCAAAAGTTATGGTTGGGACTCTGGTCTTCAGAGAACTGTCATTCTCAGTAAAGAGACTTGTTACCTAGAACTATGCAGCCACATCACAGGCAAGAGACTGCTACCTCTGTGGTCATCAAGTGTACACTGACCATGTGATCCCTTACTGCAGGTCACAGGGTTCTTTACTGCTGGTCAAGCCTGTGGTCCCAAAGTAAAATCAGAGAGGATCTTCCATGTCTCAATGTTCTCAGAGTCAGAAAAAAATTCTAATCATCTTTCTATGGGACTCGGGTACCTCATCCCCTTTGTAGAAGTGTCTATTCAATGCTAGAGATGTAGCTAGAAGAGAAACACATGATCTTACAACGATGAACAAGGCCTCACAGCCACATCATGCAGGAACTTCTGGGTCTCATGAAACACATTTTAGGATCTGGAGGTAGACAGGAAGAATATGACAATGAGAATGTGTGTCAAATTGTAAGAGTCTTCGAAAACAAGGAGAGTGGCTCAAGTTAAAAAAAATGACATCTTCACATGGGATAGATAAGGAATGTGTCATTTTGTTTCCCAAATATTAATCTCCACTCAAGACCTTTTATACCAGTTACACATGCATGCACATGTCACACACACACACACACACACACACACACACACACACACACTTTTCCATAACACGAGTGTCTCATGTCAAACTCAATAGAATATTTAAGGTGAATTTTTTTCAACCTATCCCTTCCTTAGAATTATTCCATCACTGTTCCCACATGCTACCCAATCAAGGAACCATATTTTATCTCCTCTTCACATACCTAGTGGATTCATGAGGTCATGTATCTCCCAGAGCATGCTATCTGTGTCACCATGGTATCCAGCTCACCGGGCCCTGTTTCTAGTCCTAGTCATGGATCTCAGGACACTCAGTTATGTGGCTTCATTCTTCATTGCTGTTACTGCCTCTCCTTGCTTGCTACAATGTCTCGCTTCCAAAGTGAGCCTGTGAGATTATAAAAAAAAAGTATCTCCTTCCTGCAGAAATATTAAAGGCTTATGATGCCTTTAGAATAAAACTCGGACTTTATGGCTGCACATAGGACTTTCTGGCTGTATTTCTTTCTTTTTTTCTTTTCTTTTTTCATTTTCAGTTTTTCAAGACATGGTTTCTCTGTGAAACAGTTTTGGGAACTCTCTTTTTGACATTTCATTCCTGGCTATGTCCCCCAGTGTTCAAATAGCCTGATAAGCTACTCCAATCAAAACTCAGTTAAGCCTTATTTTTCTAATCACACTCTCAAGGCTGAAAGAGTGTCACTCTCTGTATCTAGAAACATGCAAATGCATTTTTTATGGAATTCATCCAACTCTGTAAGAGCTGTTCCCTCAAGATTGTGGGCTGCTTGTAATATGAGCAATGCCTTTCATCCTGATAACTTGGGAGATAATAATCAAAGCACTTAATTTCTTGAGGAATCTCATCTTGATAAAGTGGAACTTGATCATCTTTTTGAAAATAAAATCCCTGTGAGGAAAAAAATCCCCTTCTTATGCACTGCCTTTGCCTAAGTTTCACTATAGCATTTTTAACCTAACTTATTACTATGTTTTACTTAATTGTTTTGCTTGCTCTCATTCTCCTCTGACTGGATATAAAGCCTTTTGGTGAAGGAATTGTTGTCAGCTTCATTCATTATTGTACCCCAAACCAGTACATGATAATATCCCAATAATTGTGGCTATGTGAAAGACACATATTGTTTGAGTCTAGATTGCAATATATTTTTACCTAATAGTCACAAACTTTTAATCATTTTTATATCCACTTTGAGATGAAGAAACCAAAATTTGTAAGAATTGTGTCTCTGAAATTTCCATAGCCTCTGTGTGGAAGGGATTTAAGGAAAGTATAGTAGGTGTGGGAAGGATAAAATCTTTTCAAAAAGTCATTATTATATTGTATGCTTAACTCAGTAATGATTGAGAAATATTTACTAGGAGTGCTCTAGAATGCCTTTGAAGCAAATTCTAGGTCAAGGTTCAACATTATTGCAGTCTCAACTCAGTATACTTAAGGGTCAGTGAAAATTGTTTGTCTGTAGCAGAAGCTGCTGAAATGGAGAGAAAAGACAAAGCTGATGATGAGCTCAGGCAACAGGTAGAAGGAGGATTTCCTTTACTGGGATTGACTTTAGCCACTTGTGATTAATAAATCACCACAGTGATTCTTTAACAGTAGCCTCCTGATACAGATTATTTAATGAGACTCCCAGTGTGTGAAACAGTTGACCTTGGATCTCCATCACACACTGCCTTGGAGACCCAGTGCTGTGGACCATGGTCTGCTATAACTGTTCCTAGGTGACCATTCCCATGCTTCTCTGTGCATCTGTGGTTCATCTCTTGCTGAGGAGCACCATGGTATTTCGTAGGTGCTACAGTTGGAAAATTCTATCATTGTGGGTAGACTATCTTCGGAGAAATATATCAAGTGCTGCCTCATAACGCTACTTTTCTCCATCTGTTGCAGGTCAATGCACAAACTGGCCCAGCTGGAGAGACTTGACCTAGGCAATAATGAATTCAGTGAGCTGGTAAGCAAATATGCCTCCTGAACTTGTCAAACAGACTCCAGGATGTTCTCTGTGTTGTTGTCTTCACAGCCCCAGGCATTAGAGCACCGAGTGCATATGTGTATTTGCTCAACACTAAAATAATGAAAGCTAGGAGTTATGTTCATTGTTTGACCATATAATAAACTACAGGAAACTGTAGATTGTATATCACAAAAAAATCCCAACCCTCCACTCAATCCCAACTCCACTCTCCAGGGAGAGGGAGGCCTTTGAATCTCCAAAGTCTGTCATATCACCCCGGGGGTGGGGCTTAAGCCCTCCCCAATGTGTCCAGGCTAAGAGAGTATCCCTCCATGTGGTATGGGCTCCCAAAGTTCATTTGGATACCAGGGATAAATACTGATCTATTGCCGGAGGTCCCAAAGAATGTCAAGGCCTCCTCAATGACACCCACGTTCAGGGGGGTCTGGATCAGTCCCATGTTGGCCTCTCAGCTATCAGTCTGGGGTTCATGAGCTCCCCCTTGACCAGGAGCTGGAAGCAACCTAGATATCCCTCAACTGAAGAGTGGATAGAGAAAATGTGGTACATTTACACAATGGAGTATTACTCAGCAGAAAAAAAAACCCAATGGAATCCTGAAATTTGCAGGCAAATGGATGACACTAGAAGAAGCCATCCTAAATGAGGTAACCCAATCACAAAAAGACCATGACAAATCTCATAAAGGAAAGCATTTAATGGGAGCTGGCTTACATTTCAGAGGTTTAATGTATTATCAGCATGGCATGAACCATGGCAGAACATAGGCAGACAGGGCAGTAGCTGAGAGTTCTGTATCTGGATCCCCAGGAGGCAGGCAGAGAGACAGACACTGGACCTGACTTGAGCATTTGAAACCTCAGAACCCACCCTCTGTGATGAGCTCTCTCCAAAAGGCCACACCTACTACAACAAGGTCATACCTCCTAATGGTGCCACTCCCTATGAACCTGTAGGGGTCATTTTCATTTGAACCACCACAGTAGGATATGTTTACTCTTATGGAATTATACTTATTGAAATTTGACTTATGATTACTACAATGTAAGCTACATGACAAATCACACTCTAGATCAGTGGTGTTCAACCTGTGGGTGACAAACCCCCAAAGATCGTTGGAAAACACAGATAATTGCATTATGAGTTATAACAGTAGCAAAATTACAGTTATGAAGTAGCAAAAAAACATAATTTTATGGTTGGGGGATCACCACAACATGAGTAACTGTATTAAAAGGTCGCAGCATTAGGGAAGTTAAGAAGCAATGCTCTAGATGAAGTTTTATTTTATTTTTTGATACGACAGTGTTCCACTCTGTTCATCACATTTCTCAAAAGAGAAATGTTGACATTTGTCCAACAGAGTGTTGGCTCCACAGCTCAATATTCTACTGACATCAACATCTTGATATTACTCTAGATTATGTGGCTTTTGTTTTAAAAATTCTTGCTGCGTGTTTAGTTTCTTGCTAAGAACATCATCTTTTGGTAGTAGTTACGAATGTCTCCTTCAACAATTTTAATAGTCTCCCACTTCTGAATGCAGGTGTATAGCAGTCCATTGGATTTTTAACTTCTAGAAAACTGCTAAATATGCTTATTAAAAATATGAAAAATTTGGTACAGATCCTTCAGGAATTTCTCTGCAGCCATTAAGAGAGTCTACTGGTAAATTTGGTTTCTTGTTCCTCAATTTTTAAACAATTTATGCCTCTGAATTTAATTAGATAAATTGGCCTTCAATATGCTAGTGTTGTAGGATTAGGGAAAGAATTACCAATGTAAGGCTTTTCCACTTCTTGGATAAACAGCCCACAATAGTGTGTGTGTGTGTGTGTGTGTGTGTGTGTGTGTGTGTGTGTGTGTGTGTGTGTGTTGATAAAATGTCTTAGACTGGATATTTTAAAATGGAAAGTTATTCTCACAGTTGTGAAAACATGCCAAGATGTAGGCACTGGAGGATTCAGTGGTGGTCCATCCTCCCCGCTTCCAAGATGGCCTTGTAGTGTTCTTACGTACCAGAAGGCAGAAAAGCAGAAGAGGTGAAATTTCTCAGGAGCTTCTTCCAAAAACACATCCATCTATTCATGAGAGCACACAGTCTACATGATAAACCACTTCCCAAATGTGCCTGCCTCCATACCACTGCAGAGGGGATTACATTTCAGCATGGATTTTAAAAGTACAGAGTAAAAAAAAATCACCACACAGTCTATTCATTTCTATACCATTCTGGGCTTTTAAAACTTGTGTTCATAGCTGTGATTACATACATTATTCTGTCTACTTTGTGAATTATTGTAATTCATCACTTTGAGGTAATTTCACCCCTCATCTCTTTAAAAATCATCCTCTAATCTACTTATGCTCTTCCTTGTTGGAATTTGTTATATGAACATAAGCAAGAAATTGTGCATGTTTAATAAATGCAAGCTACTTAGTTGATTGTTTTGTGTGTGCCATGAAAAGTACCCTGACAAGGAATGCTTTTTAAATATATATTTAATTTCCTTAAAAACATGATTCCTTTCTCCCTACTTAGAAATATTTAGTATGCATTCTCTGGCACTTAAATCTTTCTGGAAGGCTCATGAGGGCGTACTTTTTAAAATTATGAGTGATATGCCACTTGCTAACAGACACCAGCTAACCAGTTGGCACTAAACTTCCAGATTAAATGTAATTTTAAAAACAACTAATCAAAATCAACAATAATATGTCAAGAGCAAGGGAAACATATTGTTTACGTAGGAAAGACCAAGACTTAATGGTTTGCCAACAATGCAAAGGTGGATTAAATTTATCATCTTCATGAATCTACCTAAAAATTAACAATATTTGACCAATATTTCAAAAATTCCAGAAAACTTTTTTAAACAATTCAGAAAAATAAGCCACTCATGGCTATATTAAGGAATTAACATTCTGTGAAATATCTTTATGGAAAAATGTAAAGAAAATATTCTATAAACCACCATGAGAATCCCTGGTGAGGCCAAAAGTTACAGTAAGAAAGGGTTTTTTATCTCAAGATTCAAATGGATTTTGTTCCTGTTTGGTTTTCTCTACTGATTTTATAAAATTTTTAAATGAACATTTAAAAAATAAATGAAAATTCTTGGGTTGGGGAATACCTGATCTATATAACTTCAGACCGATTTGCAAACTGTGTGCTCAGGCAGAGTATACAATGAATTTTGAAATTGTTCAGTACTTTTCTTAATGTCTTTACATTTAATTGAAATTGACTGGACTATTAAACTAATTTTATTAAGAATGTGACAGTAAGTACCTCCGCTTCCCTAGTTTTCCCAAGGTTTGATCATTCTTAATTACCCAAGATGCATGCACACCCGAGGCAACCAGCATTCCCGTACCTATTCATTTCCTCCATCTGTAATTACAACATGTTTCCTACATCTAATCAAACTTTGCCAGTTGTTCCTCTAGTGAAGATCACTTTAAAAGACCAAAATCAGAATGAGTCATTATATCACAAGCCATCCTATCTTTAGGCAAAGTATTTGAAACTTGAGACATCCTGATTAGCAACGCCTCCATCTCGCCGCATGTGGAGATCTATGAAGACTTTGAATCACGTACACATCAGAGACACTGCCAGAAGTTATTAACCTAACAAGAAAACTTGAGAACTGAAAACTCTGCTTTTGACTATTATTGCAAGCACATCATTGTCTGTCTCAGTCGGGAGTGCCAGGGGTGTAAACTATATCAATTATTTCAGAGAGAGAGAAAAAAATTAGAATAGAGTTGCTAATTATGCCCTGGAGATGTGAGAGAGGAGGAGAGGACACAGAAGGGAAGCAGCTAATGCCAGACAGAACCGGCGGTGAACAATGAGAACCTGAAGCAGAGGATGCTGGGAGAAGAGCCCGCTGCCTGGTGCTGTGACTCCGAGGGGCATTGTGGGAGGAGCGCCTGCCAGCTGGTGCTATGACTCTGAGGGCCTCCATGGCTTTTGCAGTTGACTTACTGGTGTTCTGTGTCACCATGGCATGAAGAAATGTTCCTGATGACACAGTAATGAGGAGAAAGATTGAAAATCCCTTATTTTTCCAACCTCATCGTTCTCTCCAAGAGATTCAATGTATGCAGTGCTCGGCACAGACCCACCTGTCAAAAAGAAACGTGGTAAACGCCAGATTCCCGGGGTAGACTGTAAGAGTGAGCTCTGATGGGAAAAGCCGATAGCTTTGTGAGCAGACGGCTAGCCCTATCCTGACAACAATAGAAATGACTAGATTTTGGCAACATTTTCTCCAGCAAGTTCTCCCTGGCCTAGCAATCTGTTCTAATCATCAGAATTGCACCTATATAAGCTGGAAATGTTTGATTCAAGCTAAACACAGTAATGGGGGGGAGGTGTGAAAGAAACACTTCCGCTTATCTAAAAAAGCCATAATTTTGTTATAATCTTGTCTTTTGAGGAATCAATCCCCACTAGCAATATTAGACAGTCTTCCTAACGGATTATCTAAGAAGCTTCATGATACAAACCTGTGACCATCCCTGCTGTGCTGGCTAGTTTTGTGTCAGCTTAACATAAGATAGAGTCATTTTGGAAGAGGAAACCTCAGTTGAGAAACTGCCCGTTGTGGTGGCATAAGAACGTCGGACTGGAAAAGGCATTGAATGCTCAAAATACAGTGGGCTCTTCTGGAAGACCTTGGAAGATGAGAGTGATGAGAGAGAGAAGTAGACAATGGAGGCCTGGATTGTTAAGTTCCAGAGAGATGTAAGGACCCTGTCAGGGTCATATATCTGATATTTTTAATTAAGACTCTGTGGTTCCATGCCAGCACTTTCCAGGAGGACTTTTAACATTTGCTTTTAAAGAACTCTGTTTACCATTAAAAAAAAAGTCTTGAAGGAACTGCAGCAAATTGTACTAAATATGAGTTCCAGTTCACAATCAAGACATTTCAAAGGAAAAAAACGGGTGTACTGTGTAGTCC